TAGTACCAACTCTTCCAGTCGGGCCTACGTCACGGACCACGTGACTTGCATAACAACGGCAGCCGCCATCTTTGTTTGGGGGAAAACAGTACTAGACAACGCCATTCACCCTGAATGAAAACAACATGCTTTACTACCAGTTTACCTTAAATTTCATACGCAAAATGAGCTATGATTATGAAGACAGTTTATCAGAAACTGTCGAAGCACACTATAAATCAAAATTAGAGGTAGTTGGCTTGGAGAAGTGTCCAAACAAGTTTTCGGCAAAGGATTGTGTCATTACCTCATCAAATTTCCACGCAAGTAAAATATATTTATACCGCAAAGCAACTTACGCTAGTCTCAAGTCTCGATCAGTGCATGCTATTCATGACACAGCACAGTAAAGAGAGATCCTGAAATTCTTAAAATTGAACATGTCCTCAAAAATCCCTTAATATTTTTTGTTGCCACTTAAATACTTATTGTCAACTTTTGTCCTTCACAAAATAGATTCGTGTAATACCTACTGCTTTTTGCACAAATTTTGAATATTAAACAAACAATTGTGAAATCAAAGAAAAATGCAGGAAATACTAGATTTTTTTGCGCAAATTTTGCTGGGAAATTTTACGTTTTTATTTATTTAAATTACATTATTACGAAAATAAAAACAATTGAATACAATTTACGAAAATACCCCTTGCCGATCCTCCGGTTTAATAAGAGAATCAAACAGTTTACAGACTAGACTTACTGAATGGCATTCATTTGAATCCCAAAGCATTTTATACATTCAACTAATGCTTTGTGAGCTTTTTCATACAACTTTGCTGTGGCTGCACTAAATTTCCCATTTGATTGAAATGTGATGCCAAGGTAGTTATACAAATTCACACATTTATGTTGTGTTCCATTAATTAATGTAGAATTGAAATTTGTCCTCAAGGTTTTTACCAGTGCTGTTGAAAACTATAAATTTAGTTTTGTTTATGTTAATCTTTAAGTTCTATTTCTGGCAGTAATTTTGAATGGTTGTTTTGTTGATGTTGTGTGTGTACGTACACATTCAACAGATGATTTGTGTCATAAAACTATTGCAACCATCTTTGGTGTGTAATTGTCACAGTTTGAGTGTTGAGTGTTACCTTAAAATCATAGGAGTCATTTTTTAAACATTTAAATATTCCCTGAGGCCTAAATTAGTCTAATTTAGGTTTTTCATGGTCACTGTGAGTGAGTGAGTGAGTGAGTGAGTGAGTGGCGGCCTAATAACAGCAGATGGATTTTAAATATGCAAATTGTATGCAAATGAAAGAGTCTTTGTCGTTGGTAGGACCTAAATATGGATTGGATGAAAAAAAAATCAACAGGTGGCTTGGGACGGGGCCAGGGGGAGGAGATTGACATCTCTGACCTTTGACCTTTCAGAAGAAATGTAACCCGATAGCCTCATGCTAGAAGCGATCCATTTATTGCTGCAATTTGTTGTCATACATACCTATGTAGTTTGATGGTCCCTAACGTATCTGTATTTGTCTTAGCAAATGTGCATGGATATTGGTATAAAATACAGAACATGAATATTTGCATACATAATGAGCTCATTAAATATGCTAAGTATAGCAGCAGTACT